TACATTTTTCAGCAGAATGAGAACCAACAGAACTGAGAACATAGGTTTGTTGTTCCAAAATCGGCGACAACAATTTGTAATACCTTAGTCAAATACGCAAACACAATCAGGAAAATTGTAATATCTAACCAACAACTCAAGCAAATCCAAGACTTGTCAAATCCAAGAATGTTTGCATTTAAACACATGCAACTTTTAATTGACGTTTATCCGTCAAACTTCAAACTGAATCGCATCCCTTGAAGGTTATTGAACTTAGATATTACAACTTTCCTGATTGTGTTTGCGTATTTGGCTACCATATTGCAAATTATCGTCGCCGATTTCGAAACAACAAACCAACGACCTTCTAGCGATGATCTCAGTTCTGCTAGCGTGACAAATACTCTTAAAGAAAGTCCTTAAAGGTCGGTCAATAGAGAAAAAAACTACAGTTAACGAATTGACGCATTGATTTTGTAAAAAGTTAATGATTACCAATTGGTAATACCGTTGACAACGGTACTTATAAATACAAAACCGATGACAATGCTGCATCTTGAGACAAGTTCCTCTTGTGTCCACTGGTACTTCCACCATTTGGTTTTATCTCTTTGTTGCATTTTTTACCCTGTGCAAGTTGATTTTCTTTATCACGCAGAAAAGCCACACAGACCTTTTGTCAACTCGTACATCAATTCTGAACTCCTTAAATACTTTTTGGGACATTTTTTGTTTTTCTTGATATTAAGGTAAATTTATCTATCAACCGCTTAACTGTGGCGTAAATTTTAACATAGCGTTGTTATTTACGGCAAAATATTTTTGTTTACGATTTCTTTAAGTTGTTAAACATTTTTTCGTTTAGTACGCCAAAGTTGTATTAAAAAAAAATAAAAAAAAAGGATTTTTTTATCAAATTTTTTGATAATAATACTAATGAAGAACTAAATTTTACAGGCAATAAAAAAATAAAACACAAATTTGTTAAATATTTAAAATATAATAACAAAAGTTTAACTATTTACAAAAACCTTTAAAGTTTTTTTTTGTATAGTAATGCTTAAAACAAGACACAACACACAAGCCAACATTACAGTCAAGACACAAATATCGAGTATCTGATCTAACCTAGTTTTCAGAGCAGACAACATACCTTCTACTTGGTTTTATATTTTGTTGATGCTATACTATTGCTAGTATAGCATCAACAAAATTACGTTCTATTAATCTTAAAGGAGAAGGTAATAATCGAGTTCTTCTTGTTTTTTTCTCAATTGATTCACGGTATTTAACAATACTCTCTTTGATAATGGACTCTCTAAACTGCAATGATGTCATATAAGGTGATATTTTATTGTTTACAATATTTCCATTTAATGCACAACCACTAATCAAATGCATGAAAATCTTCTTATACCATTTTTTTACTCTTTTTCTTTCGGATTTGTATGTTGTTTACATTTGATCAGATCGGTCAATACCACCCATGTTTCTATTATAATTATGTATCACAAGAGGAATATTTTTTTTACCAGCTCTATTAGCAATGTCTGTGTCATTTTAAACACAGGTACTCAGCATGTGTATATCTTTTTTGTCTCTCCATTTGGTACACATTATATTCGTTTTAATATCAAATCGAACTATAGTATCGCCAGTTTTAATCTTAGCATTCTTTATATCTTGCGGTAATTGTTTGCAATTAATACGTAAAGTACCAATAAAATCACTATTATGATCCACCAATACCTTGCAAATTTCATAAGATTTATACAAGTTATTAATGCGTAAACAATATCCATTACCAATTAAATTATTGATTAGCGTAATAACAATTTTAGTAGCTTGGTATTTGTACTTTTTCATGTCAGGAGCAAAACTATCAGTCATTTCCCTACCAGTGTACAAGAAACAATTCCAAATATAGCCAGTAGATGATTCACATAATGCAAAACACTTCATTCCAAATTTGGAACGTTTGCTTAGAATGTATTGCTTCCAGCTTAAGTGACCTTTCCAAAGCAGCAATGATTCGTCTATCGATATATTTTTATTTGGTATATACAGAGTTTTAATAGATAGTTATAGATGGGTTCAATTTTTTCTTTTTTACAGAAATGTATTGGTAAACTACTGTTATCAACAAAACGAATAAACTTCTGTCAATATGACAAAACCTATCAAAAGACAATAACTTTCTTATTAATGGTGTGTCAAATAGAGGGTTTGTTGAAAAATGCATTGCATTTGTTGGTTTCCATAAAATTCCACGATACAAAATAAAAGCTATATAGAGTCTGATATCGCTTCTGACTAAAGGTGTCCATTTTTCCACTCGAGATCTACCTTTAATTACATTATTTTTGAGATATTGTACTGCGAAAAGGTTACTTTGTTCAACAATAAGCTCAATGAGGTTGTCTGTTACAAATGCTTCAAATATAGTAAGAGGACTACTATTGACAAGAAAACTTAGATTCGTTCCTGGATTACCTTCAAGTTTAGCAGAACTTGTTTTATAACCATCTATATTTATCAAAGTTGTTTTATCGCTCCTATTATCCTGATCTAACTGCATGACATCAATATCGACAAGGTCAGTTTTACTATCATCATCTGCTGATGAGCAAATAATTTCTTCTTCTGTAACAGATTTAATTGAACCTTCATTAGAAGACCAAAATTAAAAATGAGATCAGATAATTCATCACTTTCTCCCATATGCTCAATAAGATCTTGAACAGAATATTTACTTCTTTTAGGATAAGATTTTCTTGCCGAAGCCATGCTTACTTTTTCACTAAACTAAGGCATTTTGACATAAAGCTATTAGCTATATTTTAAAAAAACTCTAGAGTATAAAATAAAGACCATACTTTTGTTAAAAGCTACTACATAATATCAGTAAACAAAGATCGATTTAACATATCATATATGATCTGTTGTTTAACTCATATAAAAGACGGAAATATCTGTCAGTCACAAATGGTGCAACAGTTCCAAAATGCGTAAATATCCGTCAGACACACACAAGCCTACAGTTTCATTAAACGGATATATACGTCAGACACACACAGAGCTACAGCATTGAAAGACGGATATATCAGTCAGACACAATTAAGGGGTTAACATAAAATATGAGCTTTGCTCGGAAAAATTTATCAGATACATGAGGAAAATTGCGTTAGTTTTTCCACAATTCGGTGACTTTATTGGAAATTTCCGCTTTTTGTTTTGTTCTTCCTTTGATTTTTGGTCAAAGGAAATGGTAACGTCCGATAATATGCTTTTGGAGAAGTATTCTGCACTTTTCTTCGGGTAAATAGTCTTCATATGAAACCATTCTTTTTCTTTTATGAAATTCTTTAAATTTTAACAAATTATTGGTCCTGACATCCTTGTTCTTCTGAATGCTACTATCGCTAGATTTTTACGAGACCATGTGTTGCTTCTGTAATAACTATAAATTTAGATGAACAGCTATATATAGTCTAAAATGTTATAGAATATTTTATGTTCTAATTTGTTCTAGATTATTCCTAAATATTTTAAATTGGTCAAGAATGTTCAAAATTGTTGCAGAATGTTTTAAATTGTTCTAGATTGTTCTAAAGTCTTCTAAAATTCTCTGTTATTTTCCAAAATGTTCTAAAGTTCTAAAAACTTCTAATCTATACAAGTTTAAAATGATTTGCAGGAAAGCCACACATTAATAGTAGTAGTAACAAAAATAAAAAAGTGACGAATCGTAATTTGAATTGCGGGCTGACCTTTTATTACAACATAGAGGAATTGAACATGTTTTCAATGTTTTCTAATAAAAGCTTATCGATTTAATACACAGGAAATTAACTTTTTTAAAAAAGTCAAAAAGTCATTACCCTAAAATATATATATTATATATATATATATATATATATATATATATATATATATATACATATATATGTATATATATATATATATATATATATATATATATATATATATATATATATATATATATATATATATATATATATATATATATATATATATATATATATATATATATATATATATATATATATATATATATATATATGAAAAAATACAACTTTATGATGAAACGTTTTAGCAATCATTAGCCATATATATCATCAATCATCAACCATATATATGGATGGCGCTCGCTTCTAGTAATTTTTCAAAGAGCTTAAAGATTTTTTTTATGGATGCAGTATTTCACTCAAATTACTAAAGTCGTTTTAGTTGTACAGTTGATCTGTAAACCAATGGTCTGCCCACCCATACCATGTAAATCAACATATACTTAGCAGAAACTGTACTTGAACTTTCCAGGAACTGAACTTATTAAAGAAATCAAAATGAAGGCCAGGATTGCTAGTATAGTTCTGGATGTCCTTCTCGCATTGCTGATTTTGGGTGTTTTCTGAAACTTGATCAATGGAAAACGTCCCTTTTCCTCAAAAAATTGGAAGACTCGAGTGTGATGAAACAAAAATTTCATACCATCTCTTCAGCCTAACGTTTCATGTACCTGTTTTATTGGCTGGTTTATGGCTGGTTTATGGTTAGACCTGTTTTATATATGGCTAATGATTGCCTAAATGGCATAAAACTTAAAAGTTCCATTATAAAGTTGTATTTTTTTATTTAGTTTTTTTATTTAGTTTTTTTATTAGTAATTTTTATATATTATATAACTAATGATCTATTTTGTAAATAATTAATTTACATTATATTGATCACTCTAAAAACGTACAAGAGGCTTTGTATCTCTATTTATTAAATCTATGTTTTCCTAATAAATTACAAGTTTTCTTATCTTTTGTTAACTGTTTTCTGGAACATTAACTATTGTTTCTACTTAAAAAAAAAAGGTTGCCACAAACTTAAACCGTTATTAAATTAGTTAATATTGATAATTACACTAAAAATGATTTTATTACGCTTCTTTTGTATATATATTATGTTTATTATACTTGTTTTGTAGATATAATGTTTATTATACTTACACAATGGTGTAAGGATCTAAGCTTTTAATTGACTGTTGAGATTTTCTTCTAAAAAATCTTGACACAGCAATAAAAGTAACTGCAACAATAATAACTGCAACAGGAGCTAATATGGCAACAGATAATACTAATGCTTTGTCTAAAACAAAACAAGCAGTTTTTTTAGTTTATTTATGTAAAAGAAAATGGTAAATGTTAGTTAATGTATATATTATCCCAGACAAACAAAATTTTAAAAAACAGAACAATTAACTTACTACTAGTAGGATGTGAAGTTGATGAAACTAAAAAATAAAAGCAAAAAATATATATAATCAGGAAAAAATATCCCCTAAGCAATATCTTTGAGAACTTTTTTATGCTTTTAAATCTATTTAGCAATATTTAAACACATTTAAAATATTCTCATTTTAAATGTATTTAAATAATGCTAAATAGATTTAAAATTTATTTTCTTATAATATTTGTAAACGTAGTAGGTAATGATTTTATGGGTCGCTCACTTCGTGGAGTGCTCACTTCTTATTACAGATTTTGCAAAAAACCCAACAATATCTCAAGTACACACTTACTTTTTTCAACTCTGTACGATTTATCCTAGCAGTTATTCAAACCTTAGTTTATTCACAGCAACTTCTCGTTCAAATTTGGAAACAGAAATTTAGCTTTACTTCTTATACTTCTTTGTTCTTGTTCAAATTTAGAAACAGCAGTTCAGCTTTATTAAAAATAGCAATTTTTACAAATTGTAACTAGGTTCTTATGTGTTGATCAACTTACAGAAATCAGTTTTTAAGTAGACAAAAAATTCTTATACTTTTTTAGTTCCTCGCAATTACAGCATTGGAAATTTAATTTAACAAATGTTCAAGTAGCAGTCATTAAAAACAATTATTATTCTCACGTATTTTCCACTTTTCTTTATTGTTAAGTAAATAACTTCTGTTATGCTAAAGTGATGTAGTGGTAACACTTGGAAGCACTTGCTTAGTTAGCAAGAAGTTTCAAATTAAGTCCTAACAATGCATTATGCCTTAGAGTAGTGAAATTGTGGCAAATTTTAAATTTTAAATTATAATTTATTTGTTTGTTTATTTTCACTTTTTTTGATACTCTCACACATATATTAGTGATACTAAAGCATTAAATCAGTAATTTTGTAGAAGTAAGGGTTAAATAAGGCTTTCAGTGTGCATAATGATAAAAAAAAGCAAACTTTCGTGAACTTTGCGACATTCTATTTACATATCTAAAAAGTGTTAAGGCCAAATAAATGTTTTTTTCTAAAGCTATTGGTGTTTAGAAATCCTTTTATATCTAATAAAAGAAAAATTTATAAGATCATGCAAAAAATATTTTGATTTGTATATATAAAATTTTTAGTAAAAACATAAAAATTTTAAAACTTTTAAAACTACCCAGCCAACATAGATATATTGGTACCGTATAGATTTTGCCTTGGCTTCACGGGTACTTTTATTCATTTTATTTTTTGTATACATTATGTTTTCTTTATAGCTAAAGAGAAATTTTATTCACTTTTCATGGTATTTAACATTATAAACTTTTATTTTATTTTAAACTTTAACATAAATATCATATATTTCAGTAAAAATTTCATTGAAACACCGTTTGAATTTTAAAAATTATTAAAATTTAGAGTTTTATTTCTGCTAGTGATGGTAATAACTGCTATAAAGTTGCTCATAAAATTGGTTTAGTCAGAAATATTCAAAAAAGAGCAAACAAGCGAATCCTGTAATGGATAGGTTATATTTACGAATTTTCAAACTTTTAAATCGTTTCTACAGATCCATTTTTTTCAATTGATATTTGAGTATTTCATTGATTTTTCCAACATTTCATTGATTAGTCTCTTTTTATGCAAGCAAAATGTCTGGTGTTAATAAAGTTTACCCATAAATATCAAGTGTTTACAAGTGTATGCAAAAAGACTTCATTGTTATGCATTAACTGCCTTTTTAAATCGTTAATATTTTTTTACTTAGAATTAAACTAACATGGTAGGCAGTTTGACATAAATCAGTCGGTTATGTTTTTGTTTTCATGACCTTTTTTTTTTTTTAAAGCTAGTCAATACTTTTTCAGGATTCACCTTTTTGCTATGTATCAGCTGACACATGGCAAAAATTAAAACATGAGTTCAATAATGCAACACAAAAAAAAGTGCTGTTTATCAGCATATGTTTTATTGGATTTTTTTCTGAAATATATATTTTTGCTCGACTAGTTAGATTTGTTTGTTGTAATTTATTCATTTGGCAATACACAGTTAGCACGGATCTCTATAATGCCTACTTAGCTGTTCCAAAAACGTCACTTACACGGAAAGTTGGCGTACACATCAAGGTACCTTGTGATGCAAATTTTGAAATCATTCAATTTTGTCCGCGGAAAATAATGTAATTTGAATGTTCAAATTAAGTCAAATTTTGACTTCATAGTGCGCCAATAAAAATACTTTTAGAAGTTGAACCACTCAATATAGTTTCATAAAAATTGGTGCAAATGTAGCCAATAGTCACACCAAACTCTGGACAAAATTTCTGCCTGATTGGATGACTGGTGTAAGACTTATTGCAGTTTTAGTTGAGGTTTTGTCAGTTTTTTGCTACTTATACCTCAAAGCGTTACCAATTACTTTGAAATTCAGTCACTATTTTAAAAATAACGGTTACAAGAGTGTTTTACGATGTAATACCAACAATTTTTGTTATATTTATTTTATCGGTACATGTACAGTTTTTATTTTATAGACCAAAATAGTGATTTGCTACTTAAAGCGTGATTTGAGTTGGCTTATGCCAATGGTGTTGACACGGCCTTCAAAGTGGAGGGGTCAACCCCTCAATTTCTAAAATAAAATTCAATAGTTTCTAAAACAATTGCCTATACTTCTAAAACAAAAGTTCCTCCCAAAAAAAAAGTGGGCAGGCCCTGGCTCCTTTGACGGCCATGTATGCATAGCGTGAATATACCAACATTTCCTAAGGTATAAACTTCTGCCAGAATGCAAAAAAATTCTAAAAAAATGGTTAAGAAGGATTTCTATGAATACCTACATAGAAAATAAAAATATTTATTTATCTGAAAACAGAACAACTGTGAAAAAACCAATTTTTTTTTTTATATTGACAAAGATAATAGACTTAAAAAATAAAGATAAGTTAACTAAGATATCTGACCAATATAAAGTTTGGAAAGCCAGTCGGAGGAAAATTACTCTAACTGAATAACTAATTAGGTTGAAGGGTTGTTTTGAAATAAAACAACCCGTGTGACAAGTATCATTAGTTTAATAAGTGTGACAATCATCAACAATGTAATTTTTTTACAAGTAAATAGTTTGAACAATTGTTTCCTGGTAAGGAAAGAATTATTCAAGAATTATTTCCTTGTAATTTAATATACTCAATACCTCAACTAAATCAAGTAAATATTTCCTTTATTTTAATAGTTTTTAATTTATAATATGTGATACTATGTTAACTGGATTGTTATCAAATATAAATTTAGGTCAAATTTTGTGAAAGGCAGAGTTTGATTTAGTGAAGTCAAATTTAGTGAATTGCCACGATGCCAAATCAAGCAAAAAATCATGGTGAAAATCGAAAGTTTGTGTGCTTGGTCTGTCTGAGAAAATGTTTAAGACAGCATACTACCTTTCAAGCAGATCGAATATGCCAACTGTAGAAGACCAAGATCGATATTAGTGCTACTCGGGTACCAAAAGAATTCTCCGAATTGTGTAGAACTACTTTGCGTAGGAAACAAGAGGGGAAAGAAGTTGCACTCCCTCCTTTGATTGATTTTAAGTCAATACAAGTGAGACCTGAAACAAGAGTCACGAGGTGTTGTTGCTTAATATTCCAAATCAGTTGTTCAAAGCTGCAAGAAAAACATCCTCTTATAGAGCAAACCACTATTGAGAAAATACCAAAGGTGCGTTGCAGCAAATGCCTTTTAGGAAAAAGTTTTCCCCACCAATGCTCTCAATTAATGTTAGGGAAAACATTCAATCTTTAGCAGCAAAAGATCCCAAATCATCCGAACAAATTGGATCTCGAGTTATTTCCATTAAAGAATTAACTTCGGAAGGAACTATTCTACTTACTAAAGCATCCGGCGGGCCTCCATTTATAGTTATCCCTGTAAATGTTTATACTTTAATAATTTTAACATATATATTGAAATTAAGTCTTGACTATTAAGAAATAACACTAAATAGATTTCAAGTATATTTTAGTTAGTTTTACACAAACTTACTAAACAAAGTTTATTGTAACTATAAAATATATAAGTTTTGGTTTTAGGTCAAAGTAGTGCGCAGACACCAATAAGTGCTCCGAAATTGACTAGTGTAGCTCTTGTAAATGTACAATTAAACACCGGCCTGTCAAACAACGGATTAAAAAAACTTGTTAGAACTGTAAACAAAACATCAAGAGCAAGATGGTAGAGCGAAATTTCTACATAAATTTTCTAAGACTAGGTCAACAATTGAGCAATTTTTTCACCTGCAGCGACTTAAAAATCACAGACGAAAAAACAGATTCTTGTACAGTTCATGTTGTGGCTCACTGCAATGATTCATTAAGTCTAGTAAATCATGTTATTCAGTTCATCAAAATTTCTGGTGGCTATTTTTTTAAGCTCTGATTTGATGGTGGCAAAGGTTTTCTTAAGTTTTGCGTAAGCATTGTTGATACTGCGTTAAGGAATGAAACCAGCTCACCGCACCTACAGCAACCTCTTACTAAAAGGACTGGTAAAGACACTGGAGTCAACAGACAAATTATTGTTGGGGTTTCAGATGATTTGCCATAAATGCACTCCAATATTGAACAAATCTGGTCACTGATTAATGCAAATGGAGTTAAACTAATTTTGGCTTGTGACATGAATGTTGCAAATATAATTTGTATTCTTCAAACTCATTCAAGTACGCACCTTTGCACCTGGCTTGACGTCAAATCCAATTGTCTTGCCAAACTTGAAACTTGCGAATACTGGGCTCAATTAACTTAAACCTTGAGTCTTTTCAGCAATCTGGCGTTTGGCGGGGTTATTGCTAATGCAAATCTATTTGACAATGTCATTCGAAAGCCAATCATCTGCGGGTCTGTTAATGTTCTTATTTTGGAAATCATTCCACCGATTCAACTGAGCCCGTATCACGGGGGCTAGATTGAGAGAAATGAATGCAGGAAGCTTCTTAAAAATGTGGGTATGCTACAGCAACTTGCTGAGACACACATAGTTT